ACCGGGGACCGGCAACGGGATCGCAACCCTCGGTGTTGCGTCTGCACCTCGCTCAGCCAGTGAGCGGGAACCGGTCTGTATGTGGGATCCGAACCCTCGGGCGGGAGCGCTGCCGCGCTTCCCAAGCGACGCACTGTAGCAGTGCGCCACCGGGCTGGCCCTTTATTTTTTTTATTGCTTCTTTTTTTCTTTTTCTATTTCTTTTTTTTTTTTTCCTTTTTGTCTTTTTTACTGACCAGTAACAGGATCGCAACCCTCGGTCGTGTCACGCCTGTACCGGGGACCGGCAACGGGATCGCAACCCTCGGTGTTGCGTCTGCACCGCGCTCAGCCAGTGAGCGGGAACCGGTCTCCACATGGGATCCGAACCCTCGGCGGGAGCGCCACCGCGCTCCCAAGCGGCGCACTCTCCAGTGCGCCACCGGGCCGGCCCTCTATTACTCTTTTTTAAAGACAGCTCTAATGAGGTATAATTGACAAACAGTAAAACAGAAATATTTAAATGTACGATTTGATAAGTTTTCACAAATGTATACATAATTCATGTTTATTAGCACACTTAAAGTTGTTCCACAGCTCACAGTACCCTATTTATGTTTTTATTCACCTTTTTTTCCCTGTTACTTCATGTTTGATAATTTCTATTATGTTTTCAAGTTCAGCAGCCTTTTCTTCTGTAATGTCTAATATGCTGTTAAGCCCATCTAGTGTATTTTTAAATCTCAGACATTGTAGTTTTCATCTCTAAAAACCCAGTTAGGTGTTTTTTTATATCTTTCATGTCTCTGCTTAATATAATCATTTTTCTGCTTCTTTTCTCCAACTCAGGGATACCACTGAGCTCTGATCTGGGTTTCCCCTCATACTTTATCCTAGAAACACCCCCAGGCAATAAACTGGGTCAATCATAGGGCTTACCTGGTCCATTTCCCAATCCTTCAGGGATCTCTGTTATTCATTTCCTGATGTCCAATGTCTTGAAAACCATTGTTTCATGTATTTTGTCCAGTTTTTTTGTTTTGTTTTAGGCAGAGAATAAATCTGGTTTTTAGTACTCTGTCTTAGCCTCTCACTTGTTCTTTCTGTCTTTAAGAATCTACCCAGCTATTTAGTAGATATTGTCATTAATTTCCTTCCATAAACCTTGGTATCTTTTTAGATGCCTCTTTTTTTTTTCTTTTTTACATGGCTTGGTATGTAGGGTAAAGGCTGCTTTAAAAGTTTGAATACTAAAAAAAAAAAAAAAGTTTGAGTACTGGAGGGGCTGGCCAGTTAGCACAGTTGGTTAGAGCATGATGTTATAACACCATCGTCAAGGGTTTGGGTCCCCGTACTGGCCAGCTGCCGCCGCCGTCCCCCCCCCCCGCCAAAAAATGTTTGAGTACTAGAGTTAATAAAGTTAAAGAATTAAGTAATTAAGCAGAGTAGGTTCTAGCATTATCAGTATTTCAGGTGGGGCCAGTTTAGAGTATCTGAAGTTATTTGCATTTATAGAAAATTGTTCTGCTGGCAGAAGGGGTAGCCAATCACTTTGTATAGATTCATAATTCATGTAGGATTAGTAATAAATTTGTGGACACAGGACATCAACAAATGTAAACCACATATAGTTTAAGAAGACTATTATGAATCTATACAATATGTGAATTTTTCATAGTTTCAAGAGAAAGAGTAACTCTGAATAGTAGTCTTATCATATTTTTTCCTTCCTCCTAGATTTAAACTGTCAAGTAAAATCAAGCTGGGTAATCATGGCAGAAGGTGGATTCGATCCCTGTGAATGTGTTTGCTCTCACGAACATGCAATGAGAAGGCTGATCAATCTGGTGAGACTAACAGAACAGTCCTATTCAGAACTGATCTGTAATGGGCCATAATAATCATATACAGTGTATATTGACAAAAAAAAAAAAAAAAAAAAAAGAACTGATCTGTATCCCTTCTATCCTGTCTTTGTGAGAATATTGATTATTGGAGGATTTTCATCTGACAGTCACTAAAAATTATTTTATAATTGAAATTCCACGGTGGTTTAAGTCACAATGAGTAAAATCCTTGCAAGCAGTTTTTTTTTTTTTTTTATTAGAAATGAAAACAGATTACTGTCTTTAATTATGTTAGATTTATGTTAGTGTAATTCACCATCATGGGTCGATAGCACATTCATGTACAGCCTTTTCTACTCTGTATTAATACAAATCAATTGTTTTTAGCTATGTGGAGCTTGTTTGCTTTCTGAGCTGCTATGGTATCACAATTACAGTTATGATATGGTTCAAATCCTACTCCAGCATATGGCATGACAATGAAAATCTCTATGTAGAGCATTTTCAAAGCCAAATCAATTATTTGACAGAGGTAGATTTTTCAAAAACAGGGTTTAGATAGTCCTATTGAATTGATTATAGTGAGATCTGAATTGGAGGGTTTTTAAGACTTTCTTAGCCTATAAGCTTAAGTGTAGGATGGTTTATATTATACTTTATACTTTTTATGTGCAAAAGGAGAAATTTGACCATTATTAACAATAAAGTACATTCATATTATATATTACAACAACGTTTTGTTGTTTTAAAATACTCTTGTATGGGAGTATATTCCGATGGGCCAGTTAATAAAGGCAGTACAAACATTTGCTTAAATACTTGAATTGTTGGTTGTTGGTACTTCAGAGTCTCTGTATATAGGGATCAGAAGTGTGTTTCTCATGAATGATATGCCTTTTAGAGTCAGTATGCATTAGGATTTATGATCCTTAAGAATGCCTCAAAGGGAAGAACTTATAAGGTAAATCAGTCAGGTTCTTTTTTTTTTTTCAAGTCAGGTTCTTGAAGGTATAGAAATATAATGAGAATGTCATATCTCTGATAATTTGATGTAAAAATTGATGTGTCTGAGGAGAGAATATTTCAAAATTTTTTTCTCCTGTTTATGAAGAGCTGATACTTTCAAGTCTAAATTTAATCAAACTTCAGGCAAAATTTTTAAAAAATCACTGTGATATTAGAAACAAAAAATAGCCTTATAATTTAACTGTGGTAAATTTTCTTAGGGGGCCAGTTTTTAATGAGGGTTACTACCTCTTTTTATTTCTTAGTGTAGTATTTTTTATTTTTTATTTAGAATCATGATTTTTTTCTACTAGCGCTGCTATTTTTTAGAAATGGTTACAACTAAACTCCACTTTTTATGATCCCCCTGTATATTTCTGTTCTCTTTACTTTAGTGGACTATCAGGAAAGCCATGTCTAACTTTGTGGGTGTGTGTGCATGTGCACTTGCAGAAATTTACATTAATTTATACTTGGTAGGACATTGTTTATGGCAATCCTGGTTTGAAGTACTTTGGAATTACGTGAAAACAGATTTTAGATTTTACACATCCTTTAAAAGTACACAATTTTTACTCCGTGTTGGATATTTTCATGCAATATAAATTACTGATGGGGGATCCTCTCATATATAACATGCCAATAGCAGTATTGAAGATTCCAAAAGAAAGGACATTCTCATCTGATTCATTAAAGAAACTTGCTGCTTAGGTTTTTTTCGCTTTATTAATATTATTATTTTTTTACATTCTAAGATGTTGTAGAGCATTTGGGGGAAGGGGAGAGGGGAAAGGGAAAGAAAAGAGGGCGAGAGAAGGAGGAAGGAGGAGGGCATGGTTGAGGCCCGTTGGCACCCCCTCATTCTTGCAGTGAAGACCAGGGGCTTCCAGTGGTGGCTTGGTCATTGCTGGGCTGGATGTAGATGTCAGGGGTGCGTGGCTGAAGCCCTTGGCCCCCCACTGCCTGGACTTGGGAGCCCAGGGTGTTTCTGGTGGTTGAGTGGTGGTTGTCGCTGGGCTGGTTGCAGATCTTGGGGGGCATGACTGAGGCTCTAGGCTCCCTAACGCCTTTGCTCAGGAGCCCAGGGTGCTACCAGCAGCAGTTCAGGGGTCGTCACTGGGCTACTTGTGGGTATCAGGGGGGCATGGCTGAGACCCTCAGCCCCCCCTACTGCCCTGGCTTGGGAGCCTGGGGCGCTTCCTGTGGCCACTGGTTGTCGTTACTGTGCTGGTTGTGGATGTCGTGGGGCTTGGCTGAGGTCCCTGGTTCTCCCCCCACCTTGGCTTGGGAGCCCAGCGGGATTGTGGTTCTTCTAGGTTTTATAGGTGTTCTTTGGTGATGTGAGACCTACACTGGTTAATATCAAACTTTGCCTGTGATCTGTGGGCATTTTGTTTTTTCTTTCAGTTTGTGTTGGATTATTTGTTGTTCCCACCACTTAAACTCTACTGGAACTAATTTGTTGTCCTTTGCTTACTTCTAAAAATGGGGGAATTTCCTGTGGGCACTAGTACTTGAGCCATGTGGTTGAGCTAAATTGCTGCTTTGCTGCTTATGCCCTGGGGGAAGGCTTTTTGTGCAGCTCAGGTTTTTTAATTGTTGACATTGTATATACCGGGTCTTGTGAGTTCTGGTACACCTAGGTTGTGTGGAAACTCTGGTCTGGGCCTGAGATTTTTCAGCAAACTGCATCCCCTGCAGTTCTATATTCCTAACCAGTCTTTACCGAGTGGGCTTGTGCTTATGGGGGTGCAGATCAGCTGTCCATGCTATGCCCCAGTGTTCACCTGGTGGGCCTGTCTTCCCACTCCAAACACTTCCCACGGGACAGGCAATGGGCAAGTCCTTTGGACTGACTCACCCGCCTCTGAGTGGCTTCTTTTTTCAGTTGCCTGTGATTCTTCACTCCTATGTGGGTCCACGGGAAACCTGTTAGTGGTCTTGCTTGCCTGAGGGCCACCAAGACCCTCTTTTCCCCTGCTGCCTCCAAGCAACTTCATATGAAGGGCATGACAGTGGCTTTTGCCAGTTCGTGCCCCATGTGCCCACTAGCTCCAGCCTTGAAGTGGCCGGGGCTCGAAATGATGGGAGCAATCCTTTCTTTCTTTCATCATGGCTTCTCCTGCCTTCATGAACTCCGTAGGTCTCTCCTCTTTCCCTGAGCTCTAGCGGCCCCAGCTTAATTTTCATTGCTTTTTAATAGTTATAAATTGGTTGATTTGTGGGAGAGAGTGACACTGGGGACCGTCTGTTCTGCTATCTTGACCCCAAAATTTACCTTTGAATCTGATTAGGTTTGATAAACATTTATTTGAATTGAATTGTGCTTTATAATTTCTATTTCTTGCATCTTTCTTTTATTTAAATTCAGAATCAAGTGGCATTATTGAGCCATATCTATTTTGTTGGTATTTAAGTGTTTTCTAAACAAGGTCTCTAAGTTCAGTAATTCAAAAATTTATGTTTGCTGCTATTTACTGCAGAATTATTTATAATAGTGAAAAGTTATAGGCCGGCCCGTGGCTCACTTGGTAGAGTGCGGTGCTGATAACACCAAGGCCACAGGTTCGGATCCTATATAGGGATGGCCGGTTTGCTCACTAGCTGAGCGTGGTGCTGACAACACCAAGCCAAGGGTTGAGATCCCCTTACCGGTCATCTTTTTTAAAAAAAAAAAAAAAAAAGAAAGAAAAGTTATAAACAACCTAAATGCATACTGGTAGGGCAGTGGTTCTATCATGGCACATTCATATGGAATATGATGGAACCTTAAACATGATTAAGAAACATGATATTTTTGAGTAACATTTAGTAATGGAGGAAATACACGTATTACATAAATGAAAAAAGCAAGATATAAAAATGGAATTTAGTGTAGTCTTGCTTTTGTACACACAAACACAAGATTATATATACGGGTATATGTGCATAGGAAAAAAAACTAGAAGAAAATATACCAAAATTTTAATAGTGGTTTTCTGTGAATGATAGAATTAGGGTAAGAATTCTTTTTTATAGTTTCCTATATTTTCTATGGTCATATATCTTATAGTCAGGAAAAGGTTATTTAACAAAAACTATCAGGTTTTCACTTAATGTCATCAGTATTCTTTTATAATATACTAAGCTTTTCTACCTCTCATGCATCCATTATTTTGTACCTTTATACTTCAGAGGACCTTTTTTCTCAGTACCTGGTATTTTACAGCTCTATGGAACTCTGAGCTAGCTATTTAAAAGCAATATATTTGAAAGTATAATTTTTCTCTGTTAGTTATAACTACCAGAATTTAAATGCCTGTGTGCTCAGGAAACTCATAGATGTAATAGTGATTTGTTACAATATAATGACAGAGCAGAGATTTATTCTCATTTTTCCAAAAATGAACATTTAATTCATCCTTGTAATAAAGAAATATATCATTAATTTTAGGTACTAATTTGGGATTTTCATTATTTTTGAGCTCACATAATAAAATCGGGTTCTCTTGGTGGTCAGAGTATCATCAATTTCTAAGGATTTAAAGTGCTAATAGTAAGTAGAAACCTGGGGAAACTTGGAAGATTTTAATGATTATTTACAGTGAGCTCATTAGTTATATGCTGGCCTGTGGTTTAGTTTTGCTTGTCCTGTAGAAATAGGGGTGGCCAGTTAACTCACTTGGTTAGAGCATGGTGCTGATAACATCAAGGTCTAGGGTTTGATCCCTGTACTGTCCAGCTGCCAAAAAAAAAAAAAGAAAGATGAATTGGTAGAAGACCTTGTAGTCTAGATATCTTGTGATCTAGATAATTGGAAACGAGTTGTGAAAAGTCATAAAAAACCAAGTAACTACAGAAAAAAAATTTATTAACTTTAAAGAAACACTGAATACGGTACAGAAAATAAAAAGTAATAATAGTTTACTGCATATGCAACTGTGAAGAGCATTTACATAGTCATAATAACGTGAAAACTGAGTATTGAACTACACAATTTTATGATGTAACTTATT